ACTTAAAGATGTTTTAGTTCGGCTTAATAAAAGTGTTAATGCATATTAATCTGCATAAGTAATACAGTCAATTATGTGTCTTTTATTTATACACCTTCATCATTTCCCATGACACTGTGAGGTACTGGGTAGAACCAAGGCCAAGACACTTGGCAATGAGAGAGACTTTCCCAGAATCCATTGCACAGAGAAGCTGGATAGAGCTGAACTGGTTTTTTTTTTTACTACTGACTACCTTCAAGCTTTCAGAATTTATTTCTGTCAACTGCCTGAAAAATATTTTTAGGACACCTATTTTAAAGGGTTCCATGAACACATTAACTTGGGTTTAAATGAATGTATTCATATTTCATGCATCATTTTAACTCAAGATAAAGCACTCTGTCATAGCAATGATATGTTTTTGCTTGTTTAATTATTATTTCTCATTTGTATTTAAAACTAATGTTATCATATGCCTGAGAAAAGCCTTGTATATTATTTTCAGTTTCACAATAAAGGTTGTACATTACCTATAGGGAGACACGATCTTACAATATTATTATAAACAAACATATTTAACAGCTATCTTGGGCAGACCACATAGAATGACATTAATTAACATATGTTCCCATGGATGTCATGAGCAAGGATGATTAATTTACATTCTTCGTGGTGCATTAATTATACGATAAGTGTGAAAGTAATCTGCCTAGCATTTTGATTTCCATGTAGCAGAAACAGTAGGAAGTGAACTGAATATATTTTCCTTGCAGTCTCAAAGAGGCCTGCTTCTGAAAATAATTGCATTTAGTCAATATGTGGAAGATTAGTTCTATAATTTGGACTGGTGGTCATGTTATTGACAATTTAAAGTAGATCTAAGCCCTAACTGGATGATGTTAGGTTGTTAAAGCACTATGTATCCATATATTTTTAACAAAATATTGTTTTTGTTTTTTTTTATTCTTTTTTGCATTTATTTGCGCTGATCTCCTGTAGACACTTTACAGCCACTACCTGTCCACCTGAATGTACTAAAGTAATTGCTGTACATCATTTCTAGGATGGATTTCCTGATGGTGAACAACAATAGGATATGCCAGTTAAATGTGCATTAACATGTCGACTTGTACAACGTTGTCTCCATCGATATGAAGAAAAAAACATTTGGAGAATAAAGAGCTGCTTTCCAAAAATAGGAAGTGTCCAAACAAAGACCTCTATGGCTGTATTACCAGGTTTTTGTTTAATGAAAACTTCAGGTATAAAAATGCTAAAATGCACCTCAGTGATTGGATTTGAACTTGTCATAAAGGGTCCATGCACATAATATCCCTGTCTTTTTGCCTTTTGGGGATTCTGGCAATGACATATGTGTGGTTGAGTCATTGATGAAATTACACAATAAGGAAAAAATTAGCTGGAAGAAGACCAGGTAAACATATGACATTGACATGACAAGTTAGCTGCAGATATACGGGGTCAGATTTGGAGGTACAAATGATCAGCTTCGCCTCCACCTAAAAACCTTCAAGGTAAAGATATTTCCATAAACATGCATTTTTGGATTGGCAACCCATGTGAGTTTATGCATATGTGGGAGGATGGCTTCAACCCTGGCAGAACGACCACACTAAAAATCTTAAACGACGCAGTCGTGCGCTGGAACGATTATGGCACAAAACCAAATCCCCTTGAGCGTTCTCCCTCTACAAATCCGCCTTCCTCACCTACTCCTCCTCCCTCCACGCTGCCAAACAAGCCTACTTCGTAACCCTCATCAACACCCTCTCCACCTGTCCTCGCAGGCTCTTCTCCACTTTCAACTCCCTACTCTCTCCCCCCTCCACCCCCACCCAGTACCTCACTCACAGCCCACGAGATTGCCAATCACTTCCAAAATAAGATCGACGCAATCCATAAGGACATCGCCAATGCTCAACCTACCTCCCCACCTAGCCTCCCTCCCACTATAATCCCATCAACTGTTCCCTCTTCTGATCTCGCAACCGCCCTACCCCCCCCACCACACCTAACATTCTGCACAATATAACCTCCCCAACAGTCCGCTCCTTCAGCCTTGCTACCACTGAGGAGGTCACTAAGGTCTTCTCAGAAGCCCGCCTCACCACTTGCCCCGTTGACCCTGTCCCCACACAACTGGTCACCCTCCTCCTCCATCCTACGCTCCCTCACCCACATCTTTAATCTCTCCCTCTCTACTGGCGCATTCCCCTCCCCCCTAAAGCACGTGCACATCACCCCCATACTCAAAAAACCCTCCCTGGACCCCACCAACCTGAACAACCTTAGACCCATCTTCCTGCTGCCATTTACTTTTAATGTCCTTGAGCGCTTAGTCTACAATCGCCTAAGCACCCACCTCACTGACAAAAACCTCCTCAATCCACTACAGTCTGGCTTCCGTCCCCTACACTACACCGAAACCGCCCTACTCAAAATCACTAATGACCTGCTAACCACCAAAGCTAATGGCCACTACTCAGTCCTCTTACTCCTCGACCTTTCCGCAGTCTTCGACACAGTTGACCACTCCCTCCTCCTCAATAAACTACACTCCCTCGGCATCAGAGACTCCGCTCTCTCCTGGCTCTCCTCCTATCTATCCCAACGCTCCTTCAGTGTTACCTATAATGCTACCACCTCCCCCTCTCTCCCCCTCTCTGTTGGGGTCCCCCAAGGCTCTGTCCTCAGGCTCCTTCTCTACACCTCCTCCCTTGGCAAACTGATACACTCCCACGGCTTCAACTATCACTTCTACGCCGATGACACGCAAATTTACCTCTCCACCCCTCGCCTCACCCCTTCAGTCTCCGCCTGTATCACCCACGTACTGAATGAGATATCAGACTGGATATCGATTCATTTCCTCAAATTGAACCTTTCCAAAACCGAGCTCCTGATTTTCCCCCCAGCCCGTGCCCCCCCCCCCCCACCCTCTCCATCACAATCAACAACGCCACCATCAGTCCCACCCTGCAAGCCAAACTCCTAGGTGTCACTCTAGACTCAAACCTGTCCTTCCAACCCCATGTCCAATTGTTGGCAAACTCATGCAGGCTCCACCTCCGCAACATCTCCAAAATACGTACGTTCCTAACCCCAGACACTACTAAACAACTCGTTCACTCCCTTATTATCTCACGTCTGGACTACTGCAACTCCCTTCTCACCGGCCTACCTCATCACAGACTATCCCCGCTTCAGTCTATCCTGAACTCAGTGGCCAGACTCATCCACCTTACCAACCGCTCCGCTTCTGCCACCACCCCCTCTGTCATTCCCTCTACTGGCTCCCGATTGCCCAACGCATTAAATTCAAACTACTAACACAGATATACAAAGCCATTCATAACGCTGCCCCAAACTACCTCATTGACCTGATACCCAAATACCACCCAACCCGTACTCTTCGCTCCTCACAAGACCTCCTACTTTCTAGCTCCCTGGTCTCCACCTCCCACGCCCAACTGCAGGACTTCTCCAGGACTTCTTCCATACTCACTACCCCAATCCATCAGATTGTCACCTACCCTCCTCACCTTTAGGCGCACCCTGAAAACCCATCTTTTCAGGGAAGCCTACCCCACCCTCACCTAACAGCCGATCTCCTCTCCACTCCTCCTCCCACTCCATCCCCCACAGCCACTTCCTCCTGTTCCACTATCCCCTCCCTCCTAGATTGTAAGCTCGAAAGAGCAGGGCCCTTGACCCCCTTGTGTTTTGTTTTGTTACTGTATTGTCTCATGTTCTGTCCCCCACTATAATGTACAGCGCTGAGCAAACCTTTTAGAGCTATATAAATACTGTAGTATAATAATAATAATAATAATGGTGGAACAGGATTACATATCCCTACAACTGGCTTAGTTCTTCAGCCTGCAGGTTTAAGCCGGCCAGGATGGATCAGATCTCAGCCAGTTTAGCAGGCAACAGCTGAGCTTTGATCGATGGGCAGGCTGGTTGTACTGAAGTCAATCAATGGATTAACAATAATAATACAACCTTTCTGTCATCCTACACGTGAATATACTTAACCAAATAATTCCAAATTAAATAGATAAATCAATCCATACAAAAATCAATAGTCAATCAAGTGTCCAATTAAAGTCCAAAAAATTCCCTAAGTCAAAAATATATCCAAAATAAATCCAATAGGAAGGATTCCAATCCTAAAATAATCCTTGTGATACCTCGAAAAAAAGAAATACTATATAGTGCATTATATTCCAAATATTTAAATACTCTTATAAAGTACAAAATCAAATCTGTGCAAATTCCAAACCACTCAAATCGTGATTAATGGTGATATTACAAACAAACAGCAAAAAAAAAAAAAAAAAAGAAGAAAAGAAAATTATATTTAAATATAGTAATTATAGTAAACAGTGAACAAAATCAAACCCTTTCTCTGAGCAGTGTCAGATTTAGACATTGGGGGGCTTTCAAATTAGGGGGCCCCCAACATAGAAGTTAAATTATATAATTTATAAAAAACTGAAATTAATAATAAACCACATTTGTTCTAAAAAAAACAATATACGTATTTTTCGCACCATAAGACGCACTTTTTCCCCCCCCAAAAAGGGGGGAAAAATGTCAGTGCGTCTTATGGAGCGAATATAAAGCGGCCGGTCCGGTATTTTTTGCGGCCACCATGTCAGAATACCGGGCCGGCCGCTCAGCTGTTGTCTCCTGCAGGGCCTTACCTGTTCCTCGCTCCAGCGCTGCACAGTCTTCCCGCGCTGGCTTCTGTGACAGCCGGGTGCCCACTGCGCATGTGCTGCGCTTTGTGAATGATCCGGTGTCTTCTGGGACACATGAAAGGGTCCCAGAAGGCGCCGGGCCATTCACAAAGCGAAGCGCTTCTCGCACCTGCGCAGTGGGCACCCGGCTGTCACAGAAGCCGGCCCGGGAAGAAGAGGAAAGGCAACTCCGCGGAAGTGGGAGCGGGTACCTGTCAAATTCAGGTAACCGCTCCCCCTCCCTTCCCAAAGGTCAGCAGTCTCTGGTCATCTCCTGCACTGTCCGCAGTCTCTGGTCATTCCCTGCACTGTCTGCAGTCTCTGGTCATCCCTGTACTGTGTCCGCAGTCTCTGGTCATTCCCTGCACTGTGTCCGCAGTCTCTGGTCATCCCCTGCACTGTCTGCAGTCTCTGGTCATTCCCTGCACTGTCCGCAGTCTCTGGTCATTCCCTGCACTGTCCGCAGTCTCTGGTCATTCCCTGCACTGTCCGCAGTCTCTGGTCATCTCCTGCACTGTGTCCGCAGTCTCTGGTCATCCCCTGTACTGTGTCCGCAGTCTCTGGTCATTCCCTGTACTGTGTCCGCAGTCTCTGGTCATCTGCACTATGTCCGCAGTCTCTGGTCATCTCCTGTACTGTGTCCGCAGTCTCTGGTCATCTCCTGTACTGTGTCCGCAGTCTCTGGTCATCCCCTGTACTGTGTCCGCAGTCTCTGGTCATCTCCTGTACTGTGTCCGCAGTCTCTGGTCATCTCCTGCACTGTGTCCGCAGTCTCTGGTCATCTCCTGCACTGTGTCCGCAGTCTCTGGTCATCTCCTGCACTGTTTCTGCAGTCTCTGGTCATCTCCTGTACTGTGTCCGCAGTCTCTGGTCATCTCCTGTACTGTGTCCGCAGTCTCTGGTCATCTCCTGTACTGTTTCTGCAGTCTCTGGTCATCTCCTGTACTGTGTCCGCAGTCTCTGGTCATCTCCTGTACTGTGTCCGTAGTCTCTGGTCATCTCCTGCACTGTTTCTGCAGTCTCTGGTCATCTCCTGTACTGTGTCCGCAGTCTCTGGTCATCTCCTGTACTGTGTCCGCAGTCTCTGGTCATCTCCTGTACTGTTTCTGCAGTCTCTGGTCATCTCCTGTACTATGTCCGCAGTCTCTGGTCATCTCCTGTACTGTGTCCGCAGTCTCTGGTCATCTCCTGCACTGTTTCTGCAGTCTCTGGTCATCTCCTGTACTATGTCCGCAGTCTCTGGTCATCTCCTGCACTGTTTCTGCAGTCTCTGGTCATCTCCTGTACTGTGTCCGCAGTCTCTGGTCATCTCCTGTACTGTGTCCGCAGTCTCTGGTCATCTCCTGTACTGTTTCTGCAGTCTCTGGTCATCTCCTGTACTGTGCCGCAGTCTCTGGTCATCTCCTGTACTGTGTCCGCAGTCTCTGGTCATCTCATGTACTGTGTCCGCAGTCTCTGGTCATCCCCTGTACTGTGTCTGCAGTCCATTGGTTCAGAATATTTTTTTTTCTTGTTTTTCACCACTAAAACCTAGGTGCGTCTTATGGTCAGGTGCGTCTTATGGAGCGAAAAATACGGTAAGTCAGGTTCCGAAGAAGACACTTCTTACTGACTGTAAGAATTACACAGATAATTGGAACTGGCAGTGCATGGAAAACACTACAATTTTAACAAAAAGTCTTTCATCCTGTACTTAGCATCTGCAAAATCTTTAACTAACTCATCAAACTTTTGCATCCTGAAGACACTGATCTTAACAGCCACTAGGCACAAAACACTTTTTCATTTTCACTTTCACTTTTTTAAAACAGTCTTTCATAAGCCATCATAGTTCTCAGATAATTCCATATCAGTGCCGAATAATTCTCCTGAACACCTACAGGTAGTGGCCATCATGCTCAAATATATAAGAGCTACATTAATGCCTGGAAAGTTATCCGCAAGCCCTTCATCATGTAATAAAATTGCCTGTTGAAATGGAGTAAGACATGGATGAAGTTTGGCAAAGGCTGCAAGCTGGACAATTTCCTCAAGGAACACATCACTGAAGTTTCAAGGTTTCTCAACCTCAGTTTTTATCTCTGCATAAGGTAGACTACATAAATCAACTATTACTTTGAACCTGTTATACACAGATTGTATGCTATTGTAAGATAACAATACAACTGATCTAAAATGACATTAAAAGTTTCATATTTGAATTTTTCCGTGGAAGAAAAAACTGTTTCCTCCGAGAATAATTTTGGCTTTGCATCCTATCATTTGTTTCTCTCTGTTGTTGGTTTGTTGATTTGTAGTCTGCATTTCCACAGTTCCTGGCATCTAGTTCCAGCTCTTCATACCTATCTCAAAATGATTCTCTAACCTTTTCCAGAGAATCAATAAGATCCATCTCCTTTTTCAGGTCAACGTCAACAGCTTGGAAAGCTGTACTTGTACTGTTGAACCGTACAAGAATTATATTCCAGATCTTAGCCATCAGAGCAGTTTCATGACAGTCTATTTTGTTTCCCAATGCCCGAGCTTCATGTCTTGTTTCAGGTGTTTGCTCCAAGTATCTTTCAATATCTCTAAGGGCATTTCAAATAGAGTTGTATCCATCTAAAAGGGCTTCAGTAGCATCAGCTCTTGCTGACCAACTAGTGTCTGAAAGAGACTTCACAGTTAGTGCTCTTTCCTTCCAAAGACTTCATTAGATTTGCCCATCTGTGTGTTGATGCAGAAAACAAAAAGATGTATAAGCTTTGTATGAAGCCAAAATAAATAACAGCTTCAATACAGCAACAGACATCAGCCTGTCCAACAAGATTCAATGAGTGAGAAGCAAAGGGAATAAAACCTGCTGAATTCTTGTTTTTTAAGTCTGCTCTGCATTCCTGTGTAATTACTAGACATATTGCTAGCATTGTCATAGGACTGTCCTCTGCAGTCTTCAAATGAATGCATTCTTTTTTTGAAATTCTATCAAAGATGCTGCTGAAACTGCAGGATAGTTAAAAATCTTTCTACCAGCTAACCAGAAATGACATATCATACAATGACTGCTGTTCCGTATCCTGACACTCACACACACACTTTGTTAATTTTTTGATAATATAACTAATTTATCATTTTTACATTTTTTATAAAGGAAGTCTGGGGCCAGGGGGCCCCCTCTAGCGGGAGGGCCTGGGGAAATTGTCCATTTTACCCCCTTATAAATCCAGCACTCTCTCTGAGGAACTTACAATCTGCACTTTTTTCAATAACATTCACTTTAAATGTTCTAAATATTAGCAATATACCTTTGTTGAACTCTATAAAGCCCAATTCTGCATTCTGGGCTTAACAACCCCAAATCCTTTACCCCCATCCTTCACCATTTCATAAAAAAACAAATGTTTTAAGACACACTACTTGCATTTTCAGTTTGGTATTATTTTTATTTTAAATGAGGTGCTGGGTATTGCTAGGAAGGGGTAGGAAAGACTGGGGAAGGAGGGGTAAACATGGAGTTGTGCTTTAAACAAAAAAGTGATTCTCTCACTTTAAGCCTACTTCCTACGTGTTTACCCATAACAGATGCAAGAAAAAATCAGAACACGCACAACTTCACTGCATATCTCAATATCCCAGCTTGGCTAATCCACTCCACATGATTGAAATCACTTAAAATAGAATTTTCCATCCAAATGACTTGTTTTCAAAATTTTGTTGAACAAAAGCTAATTGAAAATCATTCTCATAATCACACTATCAATTTTCAGAGTGTTATATACTTGTTACTTGTTATCTATCTGTTTTACATTGTAGATATTATCATGTCGGGCATTGCCATAATTATTTAATTAAAAAATAAAAGGTATTTCAACTTTTATTCATTCATCCGCCATGTTCTATGAACCAGTTTTTTTCCTGACAATTCAGTAATTTTGTTACATTGTGACATTTGTGCAGTAAGCTCATTGATTCACATCTCTTTTCTTTAAGCTGTGGTACAATGGCATATTTAATGCATACCTAAAAGGAGAACTTTTTTTCAGATTTGGAGAGCAAAGACAAAGGTGAAAAATAACAAAACTGTTTTGACTTTAGATATACATTAATGCTATGAGAAGTCCACTAGAGGGCTAGTTGATTTTCGTCCATGGATGGTATACCAAATAGTGTTATACTTATTATTCATTTATAGGGGCTGAGTCTCTGTATGCTGTTGCCATCCTTTTCGAGGAGGTACAGGCTTCACTGTGCTGCTTGGATCTGGGGCCGGGGTGAAGTCTTTGGCATTATGAAGTATGAAGATCACCTCTTGAACCCAAGTGTTATATTTCATATGTGAATGGGTTTGTCCTCTATGAGGATAAATCTTTTCTGCAGGTTTATTTTTTCTGTTCAAGTTTGAGTTAAAGTTTGGAGCTCTACCAGTGTCCAGATCACAGCCAGTTTTTGGAATTATCCAACGGGTGTTTTATCCATCTACGATTGGGAGTCAGTTTGATCCTTTGATGTCATAAAGTGTCCAGGTCCGGCATGCGTTTGGATTTTGTATTGCACATTTTGACCCAACCTTAACCTGTTGTCAATTTCATCTGGTAAGAGGCAGAATTTTTTGGGTGTTGATGATGGTGGATTTTTTCTTCATCTTCTTGACCAGATTTGAAACATCCATGACAACATCGATCTCCCATTAAAGGGGCTTCTTCTACGTTATACAGTGGGGCAAAAAAGTATTTAGTTAGCCACCAATTGTGCAAGTTCTCCCACTTAAAAAGATGAGAGAGGCCTGTAATTGGCATCATAGGTAGACCTCAACTATGAGAAACAAAATGAGAAAAAAAATCCAGACAATCACATTGGCTGATTTGGAAAGAATTTATTTGCAAATTATGATGGAAAGTATTTGGTCACCTACAAACAAGCAAGATTTCTGGCTCTCACAGACATCTACCTTCTTCTTTAAGAGGCTCCTCTGTCCTGCACTCATTACCTGTATCAATGGCACCTGTTTGAACTTGTTATCAGTATAAAAGACACATGTCCACAACCTCAAACAGTCACACTCCAAACTCCACTATGGTGAAGACTAGAGATGAGCGAATTATTCAAAAATTCGGTTCGGCTGATTCGCCGAATTCGCCGATTAAATTCGCTTCGTGCCGAATATATTCGCTGCGAATTTAACTTATAAAAAGGGTGTTTCTAGGCTTCAGAGAGCCTTTATATTAGTGCAGAACACTGTACCTTTAATTTAAATGCCCTTGGAGTCTGCTGGGGAAGAGAAATAATACTTTCAGTCAGTATGACATGCAGATGAGTGCCGTCGATCTTAGAATCACCGCACACTTCACTCATTTGGGCAGTCACGGGGCCAAAACCAGAGTGTGGAGCCACAGTGTGGCGGTGGAGGCAGCAGCAATGGGAGGCCATACAGCACCCTATGACAAAATGGAACCCACCAGCAGTGTGAGGAGACCTGAAAGTGGCACATGGCAGAGTGTGGCGATGGAGACAGCAGCAATGGGAGGCCGTACAGGGACCCATGACACACTCTGGACCTGGCAGCAGCATGAGGAGGCGGTACAGGGGCCCATGACAGATTACGGGCCTGGCAGCAGCATGAGGAGTCGGTACGGGGGCCCATGGCAGATTATGGGCCTGGCAGCAGCATGAGGAGGCGGTACAGGGGCCCATGGCAGAGTGGCGGAGCGTAAGCAGCTAAAATTGAAGGCCA